ATGTATATAAGGAAAAACTAGGACCGACAGTTTTAGATCTTGACTAAATAGTGAGTTCTTAGTATGTATATAAGGAAAAACTAGGACCGACAGTTTTAGATCTTGACTAAATAGTGAGTTCTTAGTATGTATATAGGGAAAAACTAGGACCGACAGTTGTTAGATCTTGACTAAATAGTGAGTTCTTAGTATGTATATAAGGTGTCGGTCCTAGTTTTTGTTGTTAGATCTTGACTAAATAGTGAGTTCTTAGTATGTATATAAGGCGTCGGTCCTAGTTTTTGTTGTTAGATCTTGACTAAATAGTGAGTTCTTAGTATGTATATAAGGTGTTGGTCCTAGTTTTGTTGTTAGATCTTGACTAAATAGTGAGTTCTTAGTATGTATATAAGGTGTCGGTCCTAGTTTTTGTTGTTAGATCTTGACTAAATAGTGAGTTCTTAGTATATATATATAAGGTGTCGGTCCTAGTTTTTGTTACTAGATCTTGACTAAATAGTGAGTTCTTAGTATGTATATAAGGTGTCGGTCCTAGTTTTTGTTACTAGATCTTGACTAAATAGTGAGTTCTTAGTACAAAAGTAAGGTGTTGATCCTTGTTTTTTCGCTATATCTTGACATAAAATTCCAGTTTCTTATTATATTGGTAAAGTAGGTTCTTGAGTTTTTGCTTGGTTTTGACTAAAAAAGGGTTAGCGAACTTTGGCGTTTATTACTTATTAGTTCTCCGGAAGCTTGTTGGACGACAGTACTTAGTTTCATTATCTACCCACTAGATGGCAATAGCAGGTTCTACACAAAGAAATATCAGTTTAAAGGTTACTGTAAGAATCATGATCACTACGCATGTACTTAAACGTGCACATTGTTTAATTTCCATGATTCCAAAAGTAAAATATTTGAGGTTCATTAAACTAATAATAGATGTCGCTTCTTAAAAAAATGTTTGTTTTTATAAATCTGATCTCTATTTTTCGTCCCAGTTGCCATAAACTTGACGTTTTTCAAGATAAATGGTATTATTTAGATAACTATCACAAAATATTCGTATAAAAGGTTAGTAAAAAGAAAACAATAACACAGGAATTGTGTTTCCTAATTTGCTTATAATAAATAAATAAATTATGAAGATCATTGAATTAAAAAAAAGAAAACTTTAACAAAAATATTGTCAGTTAGACCTTAAAATAATCGGTTGTTAAAATTATGATGGAAACAAGCTTACCTGTAAATAATACCTTGACTGTGCAGGAAGAATAATCCAATAGCGATTTCCGCAGCATAAAACCTGCCGTAGAAATAGACATCATTAACTTTTCAATGAACTTACAACTCTAAAATCCGAGGTTCGATTCCCACTGTAGACATGGCATAGATAGATAGCCGTTTGATAACTTTATCAATTTAGCAGAATACTTAGCATCTAATATATCACACCCGTTGAGTTAATTCTTTCACTTTCAAGTTATCAATTTGTTTTAACACCATTGGTAAGGTTCACAAGTTGTATTGATACTGAGTAAAGAACTCACCAAACACCGCATGGACTCACTTATTTTCTATATAAAATACAGCAATTAGTAGGCTTAACTGCAGCATTGATGATAATTTATTTGTGTTTTACATAAGAGTCGTAGTGACGTCATTAAGGGCCCTGTAATGTCATGGACCACAGCAATTAGTAGGCTTAACTGCAGCATTGATGATAATTTATTTGTGTTTTACATAAGACTCGTAGTGACGTCATTAAGGGCCCTGTAATGTCATGGACCAAAAAAGAGGTTTGATTTAATGAACTGCGAGAATTGTGGATATCTTCGTGATGAGGTCACACTTTTGTTGGTTTAAGTTACGTCCAGAATCTCGTTGTTATTTCAATATTTTCTTTAGAAGTGCTATTTATACTTGAAAAAAAGAAACAGGATAATATATTTCTACTCAACCTTTTTTTTTTATACATAACTGTTTATATTAGTTTATATATTATAGAAGCCGAAATGTTGTTCCTCTTTATAAACAGACAGGAGCAGTACATTAAAAAAGCCCTTCCCTCCTGTGGCTCAGTGGTAAGTCTGAACGCTTATAACGCTAAAAACCGGACTTCTATACCCGTGGTGGGCAGACACAGAGAGCCTATTGTGTCGCTTTGTGTTTAACCTCAAAACAATGGTAAATAAGTTGTTTAGAAAGCCGATATGGTAACGGACCCCGTCGACCATGTCTGGGTTAAGAACACTCGTTTTAACACTTTATTCTGCGTAAAAAGTATAAATTAATGAAATATTTGGATTAACTTCATGTAAATATATTTTAGAAACCTTTTGTGAAGCTTTAAGTGCTACAATTTACAAGAACTTTATTTTGTACGGTTATATATTAGCAGACGTATTATGTAACACAGACAAATACCTAATTTTTAAATTTTCTTAGGAAATTATTCAGGGCCATTGCTAGAGGTGAGTGGGTGCTGGAGTGGGCCTTATACCCCCAAATTTCACTCTGGCCCACCTAAGTGCATTATTCCTAATGGTTTCAAAAATCATATGATCAATTTTAAGATATCGTATGTTTTTTTTTTAAATGGCTGAGAAGAGTCAATAAAAGCCCTCCCTCCTCCCCCAAGAGAGAAGAGCTGGCCCCAGACCCGTTTACATTAGTTCTGGTGTAATACAAGTAAAAGGAATTTAAACCACCCTTCTTTGCCCGATTCAATTCTTACGAAAATTAAATAATCAAACATACTCTCAACCAGTAAAATTAAATTTTCTCCAACTTTAACTTCGTTTCTTAGTCCACTGGTGATGAAAAGAACGCTGGGATAGCTATAAATTTTTAGCCGCAGTAGCTTTAAAATCAACAACAAAAAAATATTATGTAATTATAAAAGTCCCGCTAGGTGGCTTCAGTTCCAGTGCTAAATCTGTTTTAAAACATCGATACGATTATTCTTATCACGTGTGTTGTCTTCGCCGAATCATAAATAGCGTTCGAAGATGATTTGTGGCTTGATTGAAGATAACATCACGTACTTACTATTTCAAGCATGTAGTCAGGGTGTAACAGACGGAGTTCCTTTTCCCAAGATCAAGTGACCTTTGTGCTTATATCAGCAAGCAAGCATGAGGCACAAACGTGGTTTTATACGGGTACACTGTACTGTATTAACGTATCAGAAAACAGAAACACGAAACTAATTTGAACGATCTATTTTTAGCATTTTTTTGGTGTTTTCACTTTTTCACTAGAGTATGTCTTTCAACTCTCTTATCTTATCGGTATTAAGTAATTAACTTTTATTAACTATGAACATTATACATTAACAATGATTAAGTAATAGAATCGGGTACGGCCGACTCCTCCCCAATGGATACGGGCTTTCTATCTTATCAAGGTCTATCTCTACATTTAGCCAATAGGAAAAAATCAAGTGTGGTACTTACACAGCTATTGGTTCTCTAAACTTCCCAGCCTGTTGGATCTGAAACATTAGGTCTCCTCCACTCACATATTCCATTACAAAATAGAGACGATCCTGAAGGCAAAAGACGTGATTTGAATAGATAATTATATAATTAAGTGCGTTTTAACTTAATATTGATTTCTAAAAGTAAAAGAAGAAGAAAAAGAAAAAAAAGTTTCGAATGTAATGAAAGGCCGAATGCTATTGGTCGAATATGTAAAAGACTAAAAAACAACAAATGAAAGGCCGAATGCTATTGGTTGAATATGTAAAAGACTAAAAAACAACAAATGAAAGGCCGAATGCTATTGGTTGAATATGTAAAATACTAAAAAACAACAAATGAAAGGCCGAATGCTATTGGTTGAATATGTAAAAGACTAAAAAACAACAAATGAAAGGCCGAATGCTATTGGTTGAATTTGTAAAATATTAAAAACAACAAACTATGAGAACGTTTAGTGGTGGAAGGTAATTTATCAAGTCGAAGAGATACTGTGGAGAAATGCAAAATAAGCCTTTATACTGGAAATAAATCCAATATTTTGAAAGCGAAACGATTTCTTAAATTTCAGCAGTAATCCCACATATGAGACAATTTGAATACAGCACGCCTTCAAATATGACCATAAAATATTCTGAAGGTTTCTGAATGGATAATTATGTTACAGAAAAGGGCTATAAAAGATTGGTCAAGTATATTAGTCTATGAAAATGACTCAATTTTTCATACACGGTTCACCAAAATCAACAAGAAACGAAGGCTCTGTATAAAAGAGATTATCACCACCCTACAGTGGCATCTAAAATTTCAAACGGAATCGTTTACTGAAAATATGGAATTAAAAAAAAAACAAAACATAATCTACAAAACGGCGCATAACATAAAAGTCCAGTGCTTAGAAATAACCACGCGAAATAATACAGGAATTCTAAAGTAAAAAAAAAAAAATTAATAATTCAGTTAATTTTAATAGAGAAAAGGATTGTTTTGTTTGTTTGTTTGTTTTTGAATTTCGCGCAAAGCTACACGAGGGCTATCTGCGCTAGCCGTCCCTAATTTAGCAGTGTAAGACTAGAGGGAAGGCAGCTAGTCATCACCACCCACCGCCAACTCTTTTACCAACGAATAGTGGGATTGACCGTCACATCATTATAACGCCCCCACGGCTGAAAGGGCGAGGATGTTTGGTGGGACGGGGATTCGAACCCGCGTCCCGCAGATTGCGAGTCGAGCGCCCTAACCACCTGGCCATGCCGGGCCCCAAATATCATGGGATAATAATAGATCAATCACAAAACGAAGATACCTGTCTTAGTTTGTGTAGCTTAAAGGTGAATGACAAACATTGTTGAAAACAAGTGTAAATACAAAATACCCAGTTCCCCGGAGGGACAGCGATACGTTAACGGACTTACAACGCTATAATCCGTAGTTCGAATCCCCGCTGTGGACAAAGTAGATTGCCCAATGTTCTAAAACAAACAAACAAAATAACCAAGGATTTTCTATTCAGACTGAAGCGAAGCTAGATCAAGAAGGATTAGTACCTCAGTTTGAAAACGCGAGGAGTGAGGCTGGACCCTGAGCGATTACTTACTTTAGTGTGATAGCTAAAGTGAAAGTAAATAAAAAAAGGACAACCTGTAATTGCTTCAATACGAAAATTGAAGTAAAGCTGTATCTAAAAAAAGATTACCTTCGTCAATTTGAAAACCAGGTGAAGCTGAACCTAAAACTATTACCTGCTTCAGTTTGAAACCAGGAGTGAAGTTAGCACAGGGATAAAAACTAGCTATCAAAGTTGGACTAAAAACAGTTACCTACCTCAATTTGGCAGCGTGAATAAGGCTGAACTAACAAAAGTGCATTTCTCAGTGTAGAAACAGAAGTAAATCTTAACCAGAAATGATTCCCTAACTCATTTCGGGGTGAAGGTGGGGGTGGGGTAAGAACGACTCTAGAAATGTCACCATCATAAACTAGAAACAAAAAGGAGTTAAACTCTCACCTACCTGAGTCTGAAAGCAAGAATGAAGATGAACCAGAAAGGGGGGTTTGTTACTAAGAGCCAACACTCTCTTCTCAATCATTGTACATTCAATGTCGTCATCCTGGATAATGACGTCTTTTTTCAAGATCTTTACTCCAAAGAGCTCAGATGTGCTTTTCTTTTCCACTAGCATCACCTATGGAAATAAACAAGCAATACACCAGAGAGCAAAGAAATGATGGAAAATAAATACAACATCTGACATTCTACTAATTAAAAAAAAAAAAGCCTTGTTGAAGTGTAAAACACGTGAAAGTGTAATGTGAAATGTGTAATGTCAAAGAGAACATAAAGAGAAAAAAGAAGTATTGTTTGGAATTAACAACACTAGCTGAAATGCCGGCCTACAGGTGGCTGTTTGTGCTAATAATTACTAATCGTAGTATTCACACCTCATTGAAAAGTAAAATTAGAAAAAGTGAACATTTTCTAAAAAGGATTTTTCTGGGAAGTACTGTACGGGAAATGGGTTCGGATTGTGCTCATATAAACTTTAATGTTTTTATATGCTAAAACTGATACACGTTATTGAAAAAATAACAGTATTTTTAAGAACTCCATGTTTTAGTACTATATTTACAAATTACATCAATAAAGATATGATCAAACCCTCACGTACTGTTCTAGTGAAAGTAGTATTCTTGTTGTGAGGAGAGTACTTTTATTTAAAATTGTGTTATGTGATAAAGAAATGGTTGTTGCACATACCACAATTATTTTTAATTGTCTGAATCTTGAATATTCAAAGTGTGAAATTTTTTATGGATTTTGTTTGAGGTGCCCTTCAATAGATGGCGCCACATTGCATTTATTATTTCGGTCACGTACGTAG